TGGCGGCGGGGGCGGGCGCGGCGGCGGGGGCGGCGGGCCCGGCGCCGCTCGGTGCGGCGACCACGCTGCGCCTGCGCGCGCGCAACCCGTCCGCGCTGCCGCTGGTGCTGCAGCCGGTGCTGGCGCCCGTCGACCTGCGGCTGTGAGTGTTCGGTCCCGTACTGTTCCCCCCCATGCTGCGAGTGTCTCACAACGACTCCCGGAGATTGAGCCTGTTTCACAAGACTCGAAAGATTCTTGTGGCATCTCGGCGCACCGCTCTGCTCTGCTCTGCTGATGTCGTGCTATTTCTTAGTTGCTGTTTAAAGCTTGACAAAAAACTTATCCTTTAAACACTAAAGTAAAGTAAATAGTTAAAGCTCTGTTTAGGCTGATCATCTCACGGATCACTTCATGTTACGCGCTTATCGTAATTCATTGACGCCATATCGCCCACGCAAGATGATCACTTTAGAACAATAGACTGAAATCTAAATATTGTGCAAGCCGGCTCGCAGCTCCGTCCACTAGCCCGTGCGCTCCGGGCGGGCCACTTGCGGTGCGATTTCGTATGTAAGCATTAGTAAATAAGAATATTTAAAAAAAATTATAAAACTTAAAATATATACATATCATCACTTAGTACATTAAACCAGGACTGATGCTGTAGAATCTCCGCACTGTAAGAGTGAACAGTGCGTGTGGACCCACGACGCCTTCGCGCTCAGCGAGTGGAGGAGCACGCGGGGACTCGCGCGGGAGTGGAGCCCGGGGGAGGGGGGCGCACCTCCCCGCCCTACCGCGCGCCCCTCTCCTCAAGTCCTGCCGCCGCTCCTGCTCGCGCCCGATGCAGAGGTCGAGCTCAAGATCACGTTCACGCCCAACGAAGCCGCCGCCCTCACCACGTACCTGTACCTCAGGTAAGGACGACGCCGACCCCGCGCTCGTTCCCGCGCTTCAAACAAAATGGTGACCGAACTGTGACACTTGCAGAAACAATTTAACGATAATCGAAGGCGTGCAGCTGTGGGGCCGCGGCGCGCACCCGCGGTTCGAGCTGGCGGGCCGCGCCGCCGGCAGCCCCGCCGCGCTGGTGCTGGAGCTGCGGGACTGCGCCCCCCAGCCGCTGCGCCGCGCCGTGTCCGTGCGCAACACGGGCGACGTGCCGCTGCGCCTGCCGACTGCGCGTGCCGCCGCTGCCGAGGCCGCGCTCCGCCTGTCCGCCCTGCGGCCCGCCCTCGCCCTCGCGCCCCCAACGTATCCGCGGCGCCCTCCACCTCCGGCCCTTCTCCCGCTCCGACTATACATCGTCTGGCTCTGCGTGGCCCGCCCTCCTCACTGCGGGTCGAGCACTCCACCGCCGAGTTCTCCCTGCTGGCGGTGGCGCCCGCCGCCCTCCTGCCGCGCTGCCACTCCGCCCTGCTGCGGCCGCCCTTCGACTCCACCATGCGCACCACCGGCACGCTGCTCGCGCTCGCCGTGTTCGTGCTCGTGCTCGCGGCCGCCGCCATCGACGCCGAGCGGGAGCTGCGGCGGTCCCGGCCCCCGCGCCTCTCCGCCCCGCCGCTCAGGGCGCCGCTCGACCTGCGCGCGCTCGCCGCCGAGCCCCCCGCCCCCGCGCCGCCGCCCCCCTGCCTGCCGCCGCGCCCGCCCGCGCGCCGCCGTCGGACGGCTCGTCGGCCGCCCGTCCCGTCGGATCCACAAGCCGAACGTCGGGCCTTCGAGCGTTGGCGCTCTAACGTGTTGCGTTCTGCCGAAGACGAGGACTCCCGATCGAGCGAGGACGCAGAGCCGGACCGCGGTCCCTCCGGTTCCTCGGAGAATGCGCCCGCCGTCAGCGCCGAGACGCCCACGGCTGCCGCACTCGAGATGACGAACGACGGGTATGAAGCCGACCCCGAAACCGAGGAGCGACTGGTCGGCAGCGACGAGGATCTCGGCTCCACCGCGACCATATCCACGTCTTCCGCCTCTTCTTCATCTTCTTCGTCTTCATCTTCCCCTGTGGAGGAACGAGAACCGGTCGACGACGATGACGTCGGCGGTCGCGAAAAAAGATCGTTGAGCGATACGCCCGTCGGTGCGGACGGCGATCCCCTCGTCGAGGTCACGCCGAAACGTCGGTCGCCGCTGCGGCCCGAGGACGCGCGGGAGGGTCGGGAGGAGCGCCGGCGCCGGGAGGGAGGCGACGCGGCTCGCCGGGAGCGCGACCGCCCGCGCCGCGACTCCGATGGGGCCATCGTGCGGCCGCGCCCCGTTGGACCAAAACACCACGCGCGAAGGGAAAAATCATCCAAACGACGGTGCGAACGAGCACCCGCCTCCCCCGGACCCGTGGGCGCGCGGGCGAGCCCCGCGGCAGCAGCGGGGGGGCTTCGGTGGGGCGCCTCGTGGAGCTCAGTGGTGGCGAGAGGTGGGGGCGCAGGCCCGGAGCCGGCCCCGCTGCCCCCTATCGGCTCCGACGTCCGGCGCCGCCCCCCTCCGGCAGACAACTCGCTATTCTACTTCAACGGCGAGCAGAGCGTGGTCCCGCGCCCCGACGCGGACTTCGCGTGGCGCGCCTCCCCGCCCGCCGACGCCGCACCGTTCGTCTCCCCTCCGAACGATCCGTATCTTGGTGAGTACCGCCGACAACTAACGGTTACTCTGTACTTTTCGACCTGTCTTATTTGGTTACGAACGTTTCTCAGTTGCGAATATCAACATCCCGGCAGTCCTAGGACTCCACATTAAAACTTATCGAAACAATCGTTCAGGCTTCGAGTCACAAAATTTTTTGTCGTACTCACAAAGTAAACAAAACAAAAAGCACGCGCCGGCGGACCGCAGTGGCCGGCCCGGGGACGCTGCGGGGACTAGCCCGGGGGCGCTGTGGGAACCGCGGGGGCTAGCCCGGGACGCCGCTCAGACGCTCTCAGCCAAGTCGCCACGTGGCTCGGCAGCAGCGCAGCACCGATGGGCAGTTCGCGAGTGTCGACTGTGAATCACTATCCACTGTGAAGTTCAAGCTAAGTCAGATGGACGATGTCCGACCGCGACGGGGCAGCGCGAAGTTGCCGTCGGATCTCCGAATTCACCCTCGTTGCTTTTAGACCTCTCAAACACCGGTCAACGTCCTCGTCGAACTAACCCATAGACACAGCCCACTGAGCTTCTCGCCAGATCTTTTCAGTGGGTCTAGGGCTAGTGTTAGCAAATTCTCAGGTTCAGTCAGGTCAGTAGCTGGAACAGCCCCTTAGGCTACCAGCAACTAGGTAGGGAAACAAATGGACGATATAAAATATAAATACGACAGAAATACAAGTTTATTACAAACTGCATAAGACTCTAGTACTATAATAAAATTATTTTAAATTTCCTTTTTTTTTTATTGCTTAGATGGGTGGACTAGCTCACAGCCCATCTGGTGTTAAGTGGTTACTGGAGCCCATAGACATCCACAACGTAAGTGCGCCACACATCTTGAGATATAAGTTTTAAGGTCTCAAGTATAGTAACAACGGCTGCCCCACCTTTCAATCCGAAACGCATTACTGCTTCACGGCAGAAATAGACAAGGTGGTGGTACCTACCCGCGTGGACTCACAAGAGGTCCTACCACCAGTAAAAATTGCAATTTCACAATTTCAAAAATTGTAATTTTGAATAAATTACTGCATTGGTTTTATCGTTGCGAGTGCGGAGGTCCGGCATGATATCTTAAGTTCGGATCCCATCTTAACCAAGATGATATGTGACAAAAATATTATCTCCACGAACAACACACGTAAAAATGTCCTCACTCCGGGACTCTTCATTGGGAGTGAGTTACAACACACGTGGCAGATATAATATTTCCACGGCTGCGTTATCGAGTGACATTTTGAAGAGTACAGCACCACAATATTTTGAAAAGTTCTTTCATTCGACCCCTGCGGCCGAATGAGCCACTGGGATTTTAAAAGTTTTAGTAGGGTGCAGCCCGGGGGCTCGCGTGCGCACCGCGCTCAGCGTCGCACTCAGAGGTTTCATTTTCAATTAAATATTGATATACTACTGTGTAAAATACATAATTTCCATTCCAAGTCACCCATCCGCGATATTTGTTAACCAAATAAGACAGGTATCGAAAACAGTTAACGTGAACATTTAGATACTCCTACGTGGTTATATGAGAGTAAGCGACGTTTGTATGTTGCAGAAGAGTGTGCGGGGGTGAGCTCTGGGTACGGCGGGGTGTGGGGCGGCGCGTGGGGGTGGGGCGGCGCGGCCCTCCGCCCCCCGCCCGGCTTCCCCGCGCAACCCGCGCGAGTCTACGACCCCTTCAGTTCGCTGGCCGCCATTTGGGCCCCGTCCGCCCCCCTGTGGTCCCCCGGGACGGACGCGCCCCAGCGCCCCGAACGGTCACCACCTAAAGTCCCCGGCGCTCCTCTGGACCGAAATTCCGACAACTAAACGCAACGCTGTGAAAAACAACGGAACTCTAGAACAAATAAAAATACTTTACCTCTTGGACTCTCGACGTGATCTTCGTCCCGGCTTCAGACGGTCTGAACTGAGATTTTCGGTTTTGACTTTAATTTATGTAAAGAAAATACATACAAAACGTTGTGCCCGTGACGGGAAGTAAAACATTCTTTATCCTACTGAAAATATCAAGGTTCGTGCAAGTTAACATGTATGTGAACTGTAGTGTGTGTGCTCCGGACGCTCGGCGGCGCGCTAGTCACTGTCCGCGTCGCCGCTCGGCCCTGCCATGTCAATCACTCTCTTACACAGTTTAGATAATATGGAAACAGCAAACACCAGATCTGAATAATGAACAAAGTGTATGTATCAATGCCTTCCTATGCGGACGCGGGCTGGGCGATGCTCGCTTACAATCAGTTGAGATATAACATACTACGCCTCATTGTACTTAATGGGAAATGTAACAAGCTTTATATTTGTGTGCATTGTACACATGTTCCCTAAATGATGTCTGTTTAAGACTGAATAAACTCTTTGTCAAAACAGTTTAGTTTTATTTGTTGATGTTGCACACGTGTGCAGGTGTATACAATATGCGGCCTCACGCAGCGATGTGTCAGAGCATGCACCACAGAACTGTTTTTACTTCAGTTATCTGCATGTTTTAATTCATCACTGTTTATAGAGCAAACTTACACTACCTGTAGTAACTCTTGTTTTTTCTAATGGTATTTTTCTTGTACATCAATGTATATTCTGAAATAAGTAAAATTTGTACGTATGAAGCACTGGCATGATATTAAAAATATCCCTAACATATTTCCATACTAGCTGACGCCGCTTCCGAGGGACTCCCAGGTAATTTTATTGACTTAGTAGCCACCCATCCCTTTATGCCGCTGCTGAACCCGAGCTGCAGCTGAGGGTTAATTTGCTTGCTGAGCCTTCTTTGAGGTACCTAAAAGCCCAGATAGTGGATTGGGAGGATCCGAAATGACGTGTTTAGGGCTTCTCGTCCCTCTTGGCCTTGGCACGACCGTTTATCGGTCTTTTACTGGTATTTTACTGGTCGTAGGACCTCTTGTGAGTCCGCACGGGTAGGTACTACCGCCCCGCCTATTTCTGCCGTGAAGCAGTAATGCGTTTCGGTTTGAAGGGTGGGGCAGGCGTTGTGACTATACTGAGACCTTAGAACTATATCTCAAGGTGTGTGGCGCATTTACGTCGTAGATGTCTATGACCTCCAGTAACCACTTAACACCAGGTGGGCTGTGAGCTCGTCCACACATCTAAGCAATAAAAAATAAAAATAAAGTATTTTTGATAATGGTTATTATTTTTTTCAATGATGAAGATATTGCAACACAAAAAAAAGGATCTACATCAGCATAAAACTTGTCATTTATTCTACTTTTAATTTGTTTAATATCAGAAAGAACAGCATAATTCCAAAAACATATGAGTTATAATGTAATATGTATAGTTCTTATTTTTATATAAAAAAAGTTACATTACTAAATTTATGATGACTATGATGTCAGATATGATTACAAATTACTAGACCATTCAGGTGGAACATTATTTTAAATTAAACTAATATCTGTATTTGGTAGAGTAATCTTTCGGTGAGACAACAAGACCTCGTCCTTTTCTTGCCCCTCTGTACACAGTTTCAATAATATCAATCATCTCCTGCTTGTCTTCGAGAGGCCAGTTGATTTTATTGTTGTTGCCAGTCCCCAAGTCAATCATTATGTGTTTGTTGCGGAAGAAGAACATCACTGTGCATGGATCGTATAATTCATACCTAGAAATAAGTTTAAATAATATTATTATAGGCCTTGCTTAGTCATTTTATATACTAGACCCTTTCTACTAGACTAGAACTTTCAACCTTTTTTACTTAATGATGTATTAACATACTCTATATATACATGACACCCTTAAATGCAAAGATTTATAGTTGGGAGTGATGGTTGTTGGTATTTACATCACTCATATGTAATACTGTTGTATGGTTAATATTTAATAAACAATTGTATATTTAACCAACATGTATCCCTGAGATGCAATTTCCCAGATCACCTTAGATAAAAATTGAAATATCGTATTTCTAATTTTCACAACACACTTGACTTGCAACATTCCAGTGATCAAGAACTGCTGTTCTACTCTAGTCTTAAAATCAACAATTTGAAAAAAAAAAATAACAATGTAGATAATGAAATTCATTTACTGTACGAACCAGACTTATTAAGAATTCCTAGAAAACTCATAGTTCTTTGCTTCTTCACTTATGATACTTTTTTAATAATTAATAAAATAACAAATTTAATAATACAACATAATTTCCTTAAAACACTGGAGGTAGGAGGACTTGTGTATTCCACAAAGGTTTTAAGAAAACCTATTAAAATCTTAATTTCAGAAATAAATTTAGAACAAGTAGTTTTACGGTATACTTACATTTTATTAAAATCTGGAACCTCTGTAATGTCAACTAAATATATGACAGCAAAATTTTTTACTTTTTCCGCAATGCTGTATAATACTTCATCCATTTTCATACATGTTGGGTCCCAGTCGTGTCCAAACCTTATAACCTAGATATGTAAATTAGAATTAATTACATTTAATATAGTTGAATCACAGGGCAAGACAATCAGGCCACTAATTAAATAACTATTAACTGTTTTGGGTCAAAGCATTTTGTTAGTTCCTTTAATTCAAAATCTATTGTTTTTTATACTAGAAGGTTGAAGGTCTTGGTTTCTACTGCATTTATATACTTTAACAAATACCTATTGATGTAAGGTTACAATATAATTATTATTTTTAGTCTTCAGATACTAAATCTCAGATTTCTACATTCTATGAATCTAGTTAAAACTCACCACTACACGGTCTTCTTCTGATAGAATGGCCTGATCTACTTGCCAACCATTGTGTAGATGGCCTAGCATATAACTCATTTTGCAAATAAACTACTTTATGTATTATTTCAAACAAACGATTATTTCTGTATTCTTTTTTCTGGAAATTGCTATTGCTATGAGCAAAATATAATCGTGTTGTAGGACCACTGAACAAATATTGATATTATTTTGCTCACTGAAATTTGCCTTTCACATCTAAGACATTCCAAAGTTATTTTATTCTCACATTTTGTTTCTCGTCACTGTTCACGTTTTCTATAGAAGTGTGTTCAAAAAGTTGTGCCTACTACGCCTAACGAGCGATTTTAGAGTAGTTTAGAGTAGGCGTTGTCTTTTTTGTTACTTCATAACAAAAAGAATGTTCTGTGAAATAGAGAATTTTAAATTTATAATTATTTAATAATATGTAGGTATTACGATATGACTATTCTATGAGTAAATTTACAAACACTGACTTTTACCAGGTCATAAAATACCTTAAAAAAATCACAGACCACAGTATGACGTATGACAGTAGCAGTTCCATTTTCCAACAAGAAAGGCGGAGGTATCAGTCCATACAGCCTAATCTTTCATAGAATTATTCTGTTATTTATATCAATTTAATATGAAGTTAATAATGATATGGATGAAATGAGGTGAACTTTATTTATTTGAGACTTTAATGTTAATCATATATTTTATCGTTACAACTCTTATAGGTACAACAAGGTATTTAAATTAAATTATATAGGTATAGGTTATAGGATTTAAATTAAATAAAATTAATAATTTTGTGCAGCGACCGGCGCGGCGTCGGTCGCACGGCGTTGTTCGACACTTTAGGGTTCCGCTTAGCGTGCGAGGGTTGTAACGTAATGTTACAACTGAAATCGTCTGCAAAATAAAAAAAGAAAATAAAAAAAACCTTAAAACAAAAGTATTTATGTTCAAAGCAGTTATTTTATCCATTGTACCGCTGAGGTGAGAACAATAGTTCTCACCTCCCCCCGAGACGTAGGTTCGGCTGGCGCAGACACTGCGCAGCCGCCGCGCCGGCAGTCGTCACTAGAATCGACATCAACCCCACGAAAAGCACAGCGGTGCTCTTCAAAAGGGGTCGCCCTCCGAACACCACGCTGAGCATCCCACTTTTTTTTTTTTTTTTTTCTTAGATGGGTGGGCGATCTCACAGCCCACCTGGTGTTAAGTGGTTACTGGAGCCCATAGACATCTACAACGTAAATGCGCCACCCACCTTGAGATATAAGTTCTAAGGTCTCAGTATAGTTACACCCAGACATCAAAGCCTCGGCACCCTCTGTGTCGCAGGCTAAGCCAGCGTTCGTTCCGGCGCCGGTGCCCAGTGTCTCGGCCTGAGCGAAACCGCTGCCGTACACGAACACGGCTACAACTCCCTCCTCCGCATTCGTCCCGCCCCCGCGACTCGTCCCTCTCCCGCGACTTGCCCTCCGACCGCGTCCGACAATCTCGCTTTAGCGATCGACTTCTTTCAGTCGATCAACTTTGAGCGCGTTAACGCTTTGGGCGACGCCATTCGCGCTGCCTCCACTGCACAACACTTTATCGCCGTTGTGCAAGAATACGCCGACGTATACGCGTCATTAAATACGTACGTCCTCCCCTCACTCCGCCGGTAATCAATGGCGTATATAAGTAGAATAAAGCCCCTATCCGTAACGATAGGATTTTTTAACGCTTACGGTCTCGCAAATCAACGTGATCAGGTTTCTGACTTTTTGCGTGACCA